AGGAATTAAAACAAAAAAAAAAAAAAAACTGAGTTTTTTATTAGTCATTCTAATTTGTATTTGCTCAGTTCTCAACTCTGTTTTAGTTCGCCGGAACTTGTAAGACTAGTGTGCTACAACCTCTGAGATGTTGTCGTTGTATCTTTGGGGACAATATGTCTGAACAATCAGCATTACAGGCGACATATTCATCTTGCGGAAATAGTTTACTCGTCTCGACTATAATCTTTCCTTTTTTCAAGCTGTAATTTATTTTAATTTATCTTGTAATTTTGTATTTTCAGTTTATTTGTAAAACCTGAGAAATACACTTCAGTTAGTAGGATTCTCGTGTATTTCAACACACATTTTGTAACAATATAATCTCTTAAGATTGAGATTTTTTTATTATTTTTTTTGGAAAGGTTAGAAAAACCGACTTTGTTCATTGGTTGAGTAATTAATTCATTCATCTATATATATATATATTAAACTGAAGCAGCTGGAATTTTCCCTCCAAAACTATATTAATTATTAGAAATAAATATTACCAACTTTTATGTAAAATTTTCATCAAAAACTACATTTACTACATTGAAATAAATTTTTATCAATTTCTATGCATGATTTATCAATGAAAAAATATTGTTAGATATGAATAACTAATTTGTTTTCATAATTGTATTAGAATTTGCACTCCAATTTCTCTTGGCTAAATAAATGCTTCAACTACTTATGACCATGAAATAAATTTTGTTAAGGTCCGTGTATTATTTATCATTCAAACAATATCATAATTATTTGTTACAAATAAATACTTATTTTAGTCATAATCAATAATTGTACAAATTTCCGTTAAATATTTTTATGCTTTGTGAGTGATATAATTATTTGTTACAAATAATATTTAATACTAGACATAAATATTTATTATGAATTCTCATTCCAATATCCCACTTATTATTTGTCTCTCTTCCCATTTGTGAGTATGAGTTCCTTTCCTTATATATTATATTTTTTTCTTATAAAAATAAATTATCAATCTCATTTAATTAATCATTAAAATAACTTTAAAGTAAATTTTTTATTTAAAATCATTTTTTTATATCTATTTTTATTTATTTTTGAACATCAAACACAATATTAATTTTTTTGGTTATATTCGAAATATTTCAAGGTAAAATAGAAAAAATCATAACTAATACAATATCTGCATGTAATATAATAAATAAATATTTTTATAATTTTTAATTGGTATCTATATTGCATATATATAGATAAACTTTTGGATTCGATATGTCAATTTAAAATTCAATATCGTTTATTTTAACATACACATGTTCAATGTTTACATATAAATATCTAATAGTAGCACCATGTCACGTTTTACACATATACTCTAATATGATGAAATTTACGTACACGTTAATAAAATGTGTAATCATCTCTTATTAATCTAATATTATATTATTTTATATCTCTATCTCATTCTAAGAAATTACAAGTAACCATTAAATTATTTGTATTGAGTACCTCATTCCTAAACAATATATTTTAATTTAAATTATAAAAAGTCTAATCATTCACAAATTCTTATATGAGCTGGAGTAAGGTTTAGTCAAGTCAACGTGTCATTCTTTTTTAACAAAAATGCGATCTTAGACTTCTAAATTTCATACTTTTGGTTATTTTATTTTATAATATATTTTTTTATTTAATATTGGCAGTGATCATCTTAGTTATTTTCTTAATATAATATTATAAAAATAAAAATTACAACTTTAAAGTATATAATAAAAAATAATTCAATATGTATAAACATAAATTTTTATTTTGTACAATGAGGTGAACATTTATTATCATAGTTTGTGTACAACATAAAAATAATTAATTAGTATAGACATAAATTTTTATTTTGTACAATGAGGTGAACATTTATTTTCATAGTTTGTATACAACATAAAAGTAATTGATTTATTAGTGATCGGACATAGCATTTAATTTAGTTTCATTTATGGGTAAGCAATATAAGAATATTGTGAAATGAAAAAATTTAGAAAATGATAACAGAAAGAGTGAGAATTTCAACAACAACAAGAGAGATAAAAAGTGATATTGTAGTTTTGACTATGAAGACGAAATGATTCTATTGATCGAATATTTTGATCCGATAATTATTTGTTTCATCTATTTTATTTGAGCTTAAATTTGAGGTTATGTAAAAGTTGGTGAAAATTGACCTCCTTTTTTTTTTTTTTAATAAATACACAATAATGTTGTTTATAAATAAAAATAGCATAATGTGTCAGTTACCGTTTAATTTTTCTTAATAGAAGCATATTATCGCAACTGAATGTTGTAGTAGATAAAGTTAAACAAAACTTATTATAATGCATTAACTACTTTTTTCTTTTCATCTATCACAATGTTAATTTCACAAGAATGTTTTTTTTAATATTATATAATATAATTTAAATGTCTTTTTCTTATTACTTTACAAAAAATTTGTCAATGTGCGTTTCTAAAAATTACATTGAATTGTAATTCACATTGATTTGTGCAATTACTTGGTCTATTTATAACTTTACGAAAAATGATCAATCTTCCATGTCATTCTCTAATCACCATCACACTTATTTTGCAAAAAAAATTGAAATGTTGATATTTATTTTGTTAATGAAAAAGTGAAAAATATGTGGACCTAATTTAAAATTAAATACATGCGGATAGAAGTCATTTTTATTTTTTATTAAGTATTTAATTATATTTATAAATTTTGATTTACTCATCTTCGTAACATGTTAACTTTAATTATTAATATATTACTTTATTTGTAGAATAGTAATTATGACTTTATCTTTTTGTACCTATGGAATTATATTATCATATAGACATTTTTATGAAAAATTATGAAGGAGTGTCATTAATGTGACAAATAAATTTTTTATAGTATATCACAATTTTTTGTAAGCTTATGAATTTAATTTTTAAAATTTTAAGAAAAAAATATATTGAATTTTTTAGTTACAACAATTATACGTTGTTATTGTTTCTATAGTCACGAATCCATATTGTCTAATTATTTTTATTACTGTTGGTGATAATGAACACAACTCATCTACAATTAATGCTATATTAATGTTATATTTGTGGAAGTATATTTATTAGATTAGTAAAAAATTTAGTCTACGTTATATCAATAGATGTTTTCTAAAATTTTTTTTTATTAAATTATTATTCATTCACATCATTTTTTAATATTAAGCCGCGCAACGCGCGGGTAGCGTACTAGTTGAATTTTAATTGGTTGGGTGCCACTATAGAGATTAGGAGGCAAATCTACTTATTTAATGAGCTCCTCTAACATGAGCCGTGTGAGGCCTACAATGTTTAAGAGCGCAAAATAGTCGATTGCATCTTAAAAGGCCTACCCAATGCAAAGGGCCCAATAAAGTCCATCACTGCCTCAACTCCTCACTCGTGTTCGAAGCATAAACCAGAAAACGAACACATACACACACTTACACAGACACCTTCCATAGAGTGATAGAACAGGGTTCATCTCCGAATCCCGCAGCCGGCCGCGACGACGGCCACGCTCGGTCTTACTCTCACCGTCAAAGATTCGTAAGTTTCTAGTCGACTAATGACTACTTCCGTATTCGTCTAAACCCCAACCATTAGATCGGGCTAAAGAATTACACGGACTTTCCTTAATTGTTGTTGAGTGTTTGAAGATTGAAAATTTATGATATTTTATAAGCTTGTGTTTTAGATGGTTGACTGTGTGCTGAAAGTACGTAATATTTTATAGATTCTTTAAAAAAAATTAAGCGGATCAAAGCTTATATCCGGACAAGCATCTCACAAGATTGATTGAATTGTATGCCAGTCTTGTCTGTTGAAAAATAAATGGTTGGAAAAATATAATGTGAATATTTTGTTAGTGTTTTTACCTCTCGAATACATTTCAGTGGAATATTTAGCTAATTAGTTCTTGCATTGCAATGCATTTCTATGATAATAATATATGTAATATTCAGATATACATTTTATGTATTTTTTTTCTTGATAAAAAAGTAAAGGTATAGTTTTTGAATGCTGCCTCTGGGCTAATAATCTACAGAGACAGACCTGGCTGGACCTTGTACGACTATACACACTCTTGATGAGAAGTTGAGCTAGGTGCGTGAAAATCGGTAAAATGGGATTTGTACAAGAAGCAAGAGAAAATCACGTAAAGAAGAAGGTTGAGGAAGGTAATGTTTATTAGTTTTGTTAATTCTGAATTCCAAAACCCTCTCTAAACCCTATTTGCATGTTCCCATTGCTAATCTTACTTCGCATTTTTAGATGCAATTTTATTTGATTATGATGAATTTCACGTGCAGTGTTGGAAATTTTTCTTTTATATTATGTCTTTTTGTGTGCACCATCTAAACTATGTCTTTCGGTTACAATATTGTAGTGGAAGGACAATTTTTAATCAGGATTTGATTGGTAAAGAGTGTGATGTATATTACTACCCATGTAGGCTTCTATTACTAAATTGGTGCAAATTTATGTTGTTGGTCTAATGTAGAAGCACCAGTCCTGAGACTATATTAGTCATGGCATTGGTGAATTTGAAATTATTTCATACTATAGAGAAGACTCAGAACAGTTGTTACTCTGTGGGCTCTAGAAAATATTTATCTGCTGAATATGTCATAAGCTTTTCAACTGTTAAGGGATTGCAGTGTTGCTATTATCCACTAGTGCACCTTCTAACTGCATGATAATGATATCTTTTCATCTCATATTTGTAACCTCCTTCAAGCTGTAATACTACCTGAGTACAAAATGGTCGTGCAGTGAGTATGGCTTTGAAGAGAATTTGTATTTCCTTTAAGAAAACAAGCATAAAATTATTCAAGACAAAGCACACCAAAATGTTTGTTTTTGTTCCTGTAGTTATTGTTAAAAGGAATTTTAGTACTTAAACAGACTCCAAAAATGAAGTTCCGGTTATATCATACCATGAAGATTCTGTTTTCTTTGAAATAGCTGCATTATTTGATTCTGCATTTCCATTATCACTCTCTTGATAAGTACACGAAGAAGACCTTATCCTCATAGTATTGCACCTAGATACATCAAAATGTTTGTTTATGTTCTTGTAATTTTTGTTAAAAGGAATATTGGTAATTAAACAGACTCACAAAATAAAAGTTAAGCTTACATCATACCATGCAGATTTTGTTTTCTTTGAAAATAGCTTCATTGATTGTTTCTGCATTTCCATTATCACTCTCTTGATATGTACACTAAAAAGACCTTACCCTCATAGTATTGAACTTATATTTTTATGTAAATGTCGTCTATACTTTTGCACTCTTGTTTTCTCTATTTGATTAACTTCCTCTTCTTTGAAGAAGAAATTGCTATTATATCTTGTGATGTGGAGCTTCAATTTATGTTACAGCTTCATTATAACTTTCTCTTCTTGTCGTGTATCCTCATGGAACAGTTTCTCAGATATTGAAACGATTTTCTGTTAGTTATCTCTTTAGGCTTTGATGAAGTTTGTGCTACACTAGAATGGCCAAACTATTGAGGCTCCGAAATTGAAAATTGTTCTATTTTATGGTTCTGAACCGTTTGGGTAACCTTCAATTTAGATTGTCTTTGTAGTTTGTATGCATGACGAGCTGCAGCAAGCATGTTACAACACTATTTTAAAATGTCTTTAAAGAACTAAATGTTTCTTCCATGAAATAAAATACCTTTCATAGTGTTACGGAATTTGAAGAAATCGTATTTCCTTGTCACTTGGTGGAGCCCTCATAATTTCTCTTTCTGGTTACTTAGGTACGTATGTACTATAGTGCATCTTATGGAAAGCAGTTGAATAATATTCCTCAAAATCTTGCATGTTTTTCAACAATTTCTCTATTGTGTCATTCTGGCCAAAATTGACGTATTTATTTGGACGTCTTCTCCCCCTGATAATTATTCGGCAAAAATCTCAGCTTTGCGCAGTAAAATGAAGCAGAAGGCACTGAAGGAATGCGATCAATTCACGTCCAAATATGCGGCGTGTGCTGTAGGCAGAACTATATCTGTTGTTTGGCAATGTCGCAAACAAGCCCGAGAATTGAATCAATGCCTCCATCAGTAGTAAGTTAGACTTTATGCTTTATTATCATTTTATAGGGCAGCTATGAATGTTGCTATATTTACTAATTTTACTTGTCGTGTGGAGCATTTTTTTCGTTTTTTGTTTTTCTTTTTCTCTCTCCTTTTTTTGTGCTATGGGTTGGATTTATGATATTTCAGGTGCTTACGGAGTTCTCTTGGGGAATAGTTTTTGTGCATGACATACCCTGCTTCTTTTCTTTTTGATTTGCTTTGTATACATTTCGATTCAGCTTCATGGAATTTTACTTGAATGATTTTCTTATTTAGTTTGCAAGTGATTGTAGAAGTTCCTGGAAAAATATTACTTCATAAAAATTGGTCATGAGAATCATTGAGTGGAATCTAGGAAAAAGCTACACAAAGTATATGATTAAGTTACTTAATAATACCTCTCTTATTTCCCAGCCTACAATAATTACGACATGCGAACAAAAAAATGATGACTAGGTTTAAGAAGAAAAAATTTGAAAGTATTGGCATTCAGGCAAATTATGGTTCACTTGGATTGTAATTTCTTGCTCAATACTCCTAACATAACAGAAAGGAAATAATATTTATATCCGTGCTGTTAGTCTTCGCTCTGAGAAATTGTGTACATTGTGTATCATTAAAACATTTAAGGTATCTCTCATTTGACCAATGTTCTTGTGATATAATCTGGTTACTCCAATTATTAAACGCATCTTTCTTCGTGTTTTCCGGTTTTTAGCACAAATGATTCTGTCCTGGAACAAATGAAGAAAGAGTACATGCGTCAACAGGAAGGAAAGGGATCTTTGAGCCTTTGAATCCGTTTATCTTAGATGATGCTGGGAATCTTACCAACTTTTTCCTCGGTCGAAAAATCCGTGAAGCTTATGAGAAAACATTGGAAAATGCATGTGCTTTAGTAGCTTTGTGTCATTTGGCATCACGTTTGGTCTGTTCAGTAATCTTTGGAAAGTGAGATTTTCTTTTCATCCTTCTGTTTATGAACAAACTTAATGTAGTTAAATGATCAGTGGAGATTATGCCTGTCCAAGAACAAAAAAAGGAAGTGCAGTCTACAGCTACTTTGACGTTCTCGTGTATCTCATCCACTTAATATGACCTTTCACGTTTAATCCTTGTATGGTAGTAAAAGTTTATTTTTTTATTTTAATTTTTGTTTTCATTTTTGCACTGATTCATGTGCTCTGTTACGCAGCCAATTGTGATATTAGTTTATCCAAGTTAACAACCAACTGAAAAACCTGAGCATGTTTGTTTATAATTTTTTTTTTTTGTTTTGTTTGGTTTTTATCTGATTTGGTTAATTTTGAAAAACTCATTTACTATTCACCGCCCCCCTATTACTACTTACCGCCCTCCCT